TAAAGGGGGCCTAAAGCCCATTGAAACTTTTGCTAATTAGTGTGTGCTTGCTGAATGCTTGGGAAATAAATTGTATTATGTTGTGCAGGTAGATTTTAAGGTTTAGAGCCATTTTGAAAGGAAGCTATGCCGATTTTCAGGTAGAAGTCAAACCCTAAAGTTGTTTTGGAGTTAAGGCAAGAAGGGTATTTTTGTAATTTGGGCCGACACATACTTGGTGTAGGATAGGGAGATGGTTCATCAAAGATTCCAAGGGGGAATTCGGGCCGGGTCCTTTTAGAGCACAATTTTAAAACTGTGCTCAGCTCACACCTGTCAAATCAATCTATCTAACACTTTAGTCACTTCTCAAAATAAAAGCACAAAGGCTTCATTCGTTCTCTAAATACTAGCCACAAAGCAACATATTTGTACTCTATAATCAATGGAAACTACTATAAAGTACACTAACCACTTTAAAGTGGCTGCAGCGTGGCCATCTTCACAAAGCACGATTATTCGTGTTGTTTGACATAAAGAGCACAAATGGAATTTGTGCTTTCAGTGCAGTTTTTTAGTAGTGAACTTAGTTAAAGGGCAAGTTTATTGTTCAATATCAATTGTCTCATTAATTTTTATGTGCATAAACAATAGTCTAAAGAATATGAGATGAAAAGAAAGTATCTAAAAAGTTTGATTCAGGAGACCTTCCTCTATAACCCTCATAACCTTAATTATTCCTAGTCATAACATTGTCAACTATAAGGATATTAAATGACATAGGGTCGAGTTTGGGCTGTCTATGGGAATAAAACCAGGCCTTATTGTTTGCACAACACACTAGGCTAAGCCCCTCATATCGGGCATAGCACCAAAAAACAAGGTTGGGTACGAGCCGTTCTTATAGGCTTATGAGAAACTAAAACAAAAGGCACCATCAAAGGAAGCAATTTTTTTTTCTTTGTGGCCTAATCGAAAAGATGGTAGAGTGGATAACATTAGAGAGGATGTCATTATTGTTTCCTTATGCGAAAGTGATGTGTGTGGTGTGGAATTCTCACATGGTGTCTAGAGTACCCTTCAGTAAACAATGGCATTACATTGTTCATTAGTTGCTTGTTTAAATGATTCCAATTCATTAAGTAAACAAAATATTTATTCAACGTGGTATTGGTTTGCAAATTAGGAAGAAGAAAAAAAAGTCAGGATCCCTTGTCGTAAATGGATGTGCAACAAATGGTGAGGTGAAAACGTAAAAGTATTTACACCCCAAGGTGCAGACCTAGAAGAATTCACAGGTCGTTTAGAAAGATTCTTGTAGAACGCACTCATGCAAGGAGCCATAAGGTTACTTATTGTCTCAACCAACATAACTATTTTGCTCCTGTTTATCTCTTGTGGCCAATCAAAACTCCTAATGTGAAATATTCTTTGCTCGTCGTGTTTTTGATTTTGCAATGAGGACAAATGTAGCATACTATTATGATATATTCCTACTATATTTGTTAGAAGCAACTTTTTAATAAATCACAGTTTGACACATATAAAAAAGTAGTTCATCAAAAACTTAAAAATAAAAATTTATGCACACATTAGCTGCGAATAGAAAGTAAAAGTTCCTACTTCTAAGAAGAGGAAAAAAAAAACACGCATTTTCCTAAGCATAATTTGCTCTACCTAATTTCTCAATTAGATTGCAAATAAAATCCAACACTACTACTTCCTCCATTAGCATAACTAGTAGCACCCTCTTTGCCACCTTCCTTTTTAATAAGAACTGCATCTTTCGACCAAAACAAGAGCAAAGTAAACCTGACCATTGTCATCACCAACCTGCCGTTAATCTCATTGTTGTTATGATGAACCTGGAATTACCAAAGTTTACCACATCATTTACGTCTAGTTGATGATCACAGAAAATGTGGTTCCAAGTAGATTTCAACACATAAGATTGTTTGGCATGTGCCACAACCCCAAGGTTATCTCTTCTTCCTCAAGCTCTCAACCAATCAATGGAATCCTATGGATCCTATTACCCTTGACCATAGCCTCCTTATTGCAGTTGAGGAAGATCTTTGTTTTGGTTTGATGTCAAGGTAGCAACAACTTGCCTTGTTATCTCTTTATGTCACTCTCGGACAAACTCTTATGCAACAATATTTGCAGCTTCGTCCTATTCATCCCTCAAGAATCAAACTCTTAAATTCTTCAGGCACGTCGTTTTCAAATTTGATCTTCTTGCCCTTATTCTTCACCACCATAACCACCCTCTTCTTCTCCTCTTTCTTTCTTCAACTTCAAGTTCAAGCCTAAGTACAAGATGTTGTTGGAAAACCTAGCTCTCTTCTTCTTAGCATAGCTTAGCTTTTGGCCGAATATGGTGATACGTTTGCATGTCGACCTTGGTTTCTTAGGAAACTTTTGTATTATACAACATTCCTCACATCAACTATGGCAAAAAATCAAACAGTACGTAATTAATTAATACTATTAAAGTATGAGTTTTCTAATTCACACAATCATTTTTTAGCAAAGAGCGAATGTGATCAACTGTGATCAAAGTTCCCGTTTGGTGATTAGATTGACTACCATTTCATTGTCAATTGCTAATATTCAGTTCATAATTCTACAAATTGTACGTATAGCATATGGATCCATTAACTCATCAATTACACACAAAGCTAGCTAGCTAATTCCTCAATTACATTGCAAATACCAAACCTAGCTAGCTTTAGCTACAAAAGCTCATCCTAAAAAACATTTACAAAAATTTATTATATAAAATAGTCTTGATTAAAAGTCCCTTGGTCTTTTTTCACCAACTCTGGGGCTGTAGCTATCAATTTTTTTTGGGTTGCTACTCTCAAACTTTTCAGGGATGCAGCTCCCACTGCTGCTACCACCTACAACTTCTCATCCTTTATTGCTTTTATTACTTCTTCCTTTGTTGCCTTCTTCCTTGAGAACAAGATCACCTTTCCGAACCAGAATAAGATCCAAGTGAAGCTAACTATCATCGTCATTAAGATCATTGTCATCATCTTCATTATCGTTGCAATTATTATCGAGATGACCATTGAGATCATCATCAAGATTGTCATGGTTAAAATTAGGGTTAATAGCCTGAAATGACCAAACTTGAACTAAATCATCTTCATCTAGATGATGCTTATGAACACTGTAATTTCAGGTAGTTGTCACCATAAAGGAGCGCTTTGACTTGCTTGACAGCTTCTATCACCCCAAGGTTATCTATTCTTGCGCAAGCACAGGATCTATCAATGGAACCCCCGTTTTACATTTCTCGAGCTTGTCCTTCTCCTTACACTTGATGAATTTCTTGGGCTTCTTGGATGAGATTTGCTCTTGAGGCAGCAACAACTTGCCTTAATCTCTCTTTATGCTAGCGCGGAATAAACTTTTCCATACCAACAATTAGAGCATTGTCCCATTCATTTTTTCCAAGATCACTTGCTTGAATTCTTCAAGAAACTCATAAGTATGTTCGAGTAGACCCATGCCCTTACTTGAATTCTTGTTCACTGAAAACTTGACCTTCTTCTTCTTCTTATTAGGAGTAGCAACCCATGTTTTGTCCTTATCATTACTATATGTTCTTTTCAAAGAAGTATTCTTAATAGTTATTGCCTGCTCTTGATGAAGTTGATCATATTCAATACTACTGGCATAGTTACTAGTAAGGTTAGTCATGGTCATTGTTATCTTTTGTTCAAATATGATGATACTATTACTATTATTAGGTTATGAAGACCTCCGTTTCTTAGGGTGTGGAAAAAACTAAATTGCGACACAATTTACAACACTAAAATTAGTTAATTAACCTATAAGAAAATGTTAAGTGTCAAAAAAACACAATAAGCTTAAAATATGTGATTTAGTTCACTGACAAAATAAGTTAAACCATTTTTTATTGTGCATGATTTGGTTCGACACTTTTTAAGATTATATATTTTTAATATAAAAATATATCGAACCGTTCAAATTGGTCTCATTGACTGGCTTCAACTATTACAATGGGTTTTGGCCCGACCCTATAGTATATGTAGTGAGAAATTAAACTGTGCAACAAATTAACTAATTGGTGTGCTCAGTTCAAAAGGTGGTTTGGACAATTCACTTGGCTTGAGTATTCTGTTGTTAAGAATAATGTCTTTTATTTTCCTTGATTCCTTTTTGACATGAATCAGTCACACCCAACCTTTATTGTTGACGGGTATAAAAAATAGAAGAGAATTGGTGGGAATCAATGTGCATTGATGTTCACCCATTTCGTGTTTGCTCCTGTGATGGAAGGGTAAAGTTCCCCATTGCCTTAAAAACCATTGACTGGTCAACAAGTCAACTTTCTTTAGTGTGCGAGCATGCCACTGCTAGTGTATATCGATGATGTGGTGATTAAATCCCCAGAGGAGGGAAACCACATGTCAAATCTAAGGAAGGCATTCCTAAGAATGAGACAACATAAACTAAAAATGAACCCAAAGAAGTGTGCTTTTGGAGTTCAAGCAGGAAATTTCCTAGGATTCTTGGTCCACCAGAGAGGCATAGAAATTGACAAGAACAAGGCAAAGTCCATCATAGAAGCTCTACCGCCTAGGAACAAGAAAGAATTGTAAAGTCTCTTAGGAAAAATTAATTTTCTAAGGAGATTCATATCCAATTCTGCAGGGAAAATCCAGCCTTTCTCCTCTTTGTTAAGATTGAAACAGGAACAGACCTTCAACTGGGAGGAACAGCACCAACAAGCTTTTGAGGAAATCAAGCATTACCTCTCAAATCTGCCAGTTCTGTCCCCACCAAAGAGAGGCATACCACTCAAGCTCTATGTATCTGCATCAGAGGTATCCATTGGGAGTCTGTTAGTTCAAGATAACAAGAAAAGGAATGAACATGCAGTCTACTATCTGAGCAGGACACTGACATAAGTAGAAAGAAAATATTCTGCAATTGAAAGACTTTGCCTAGCCTTGTACTTCACTGCTGTGAAACTCAGACACTACATGCTACCATACACCATCTACATCATTGCCAAAACGGATTTGATCAAGTACATGCTAACAAGACCAATGCTGAGAGGCAGAATTGGAAAATGGACTCTGGCCTTGACAGAATTTGCCTTCAGATATGTTCCCCAGAAAGCTGTCAAGGGACAAACTGTGGCAAACTTCCTAGCAGACCATCCGGGTGAAGAAATTGAAAACATGGATTCCTTGGATATAGCAAATGCAGATCTATTGAAAAGAGCTCATACCTGCTTGAACAATCCTATCTATTCAGTACACCTTACACCTTGGAAGCTATACTTTGATGGATCAAAGACTGATATAGCTTCTGGGGCAGGAATTGTTTTGGAAGAACCACTTGGAATCAGACACTGTTATTCTTTCCAATTGGATTTCCAGTGCACCAACAACAGGGCAGAATATGAGGCTCTAATCATTGGCCTAGAAATGCTGGTAGAATTAGGAATCCAGTTTGTTGAAATTTTGGGAGATTCTATGCTTGTGCTAAAACAAATTGTTGGGGAATACAAGTGCCTAAGTCCCTCTCTAGCCGTCTACTTAGTGGCAACTAGGAATCTTCTAACAGAATTCAGAGAAGCTACTTGGGAGCATATCCCAAGGGAAGAAAACTTTGCAGCCAATGAATTGGCTCAGGTAGCAATAGGCATACAAATGCCTGAAGATTGTGTGCAAAGAATCATCAAGGTAGGGAAGAAAAGCCTACCATCTGTTCTGACTAGAGGGATGGAGATAGATGTCAATTCTGCCATGATCACTGAAGATGATTGGAGAAATCCTGTCATGACTTACTTACAATATCCAACTCTGTCCTCTGAAAAGAGAGTCAGAATCATGGCTATGAACTACCTTATGTGGAATGAAGATTTGGTCCGAAAAAACAAGGATGAGATACTATTAAGGTGCCTCGGAAAGAAAGAATACATGAAAGTCATGGGGGAAACTCATGAAGGAATATGTGGAGCTCATCAAGGAGGAAGGAAAATGTGCTGGTTAATTAGAAGGTATGGCTACTTCTGGCCAACCATGATGAAAGATTGCATTGACTATTCCAAGGGGTGTGAGTCTTGTCAAAGGCATGGCCCAATCCAGCAGGCTCCTTTAGTTCCCATGAATCCAGTGGTAAAGTCATGACCCTTTAGAGGATGGGCAATGGACCTCATTGGCAAGATCTATCCAGCCAGCAGCCAGCAGCCAGCAGCCAGCAGCACTGTTTTATCATTGTTGCTACAGACTACTTCACTAAATGGGTAGAGGCCAAGCCTGTTAAATCCACTACATCTCAAGAGATCATCACTTTCATAGAAGAGCAGATTATACAGAGATTTGGCATCCTAGAATCAATCACAACTGATAGGGATCCTCTTTCATATCTGGAGAAATACTGGATATGGCAGAGGCATTCAAATTCAGACTGCTTCAATCCACTCCTTATTATGCTCAAGCCAATGGGCAGGCAGAATCAAGCAACAAAGTAATCATCAACATTATCAGAAAAATGCTTGAGAAGAACCCAAAGCAGTGGCATGAGAAGTTGTCAGAAACTCTGTGGGCATAGAGAACTTCAAAGAGAGAAGCAACTGGCATGACCCCCTATGCTCTAACCTATGGCCATGATGCAATTTTGCCTATGGAGATAGCTATTCAATCCCTCAGAATTGCTCACCAACATGATCTGGTTGGAGAAAATTACTCGCAAACCATGCTGCTAGAACTGGATGGATTGGATCCAAGCAGAATTGACACCCTCAATAAACTCCTGGCAGGAAAGCAAACTGTATCAAGGGCCTACAACAAAAGAGTAAAGAACAAGAGTTTTGAAGAAGGAGAGATAGTCTGGAAAGCAGTTCTGCCTCTTGGAACACATATAGCTGGTTATGGAATGTGGTCACCTACATGGGAAGGCCCTTTCATAGTCAATCAAATCATTGGAATGGGGGCATACAGGTTGCAGGATCGAGATGGAGAAATTCATGCTGCCCCAATCAACGGCAAATGGTTAAGTTTTATCCAACCATATGGGATTCACAGGCTGGACAGACAGATCCTGGGATAGAGAAGGAACAACATTGAAACTGTTTGTTTCAGACTCTGTCCAGAATTTATTTTTACTCTAAGTTGTTTAAAGTTTGTTTCCCTTTCGTTTTTTTTACTACTTCTGTTTATTTTCATCAAAAGAAATTAAAAACCAAAAATTGCAACAAAAAATAATAAACTTTATTTAAAATAAATAGCCATGGGGCCTTCCCCATGGCAAATTGTTCATCATAAAGCAAAAACTAAAAGCATAAATAAATACTAAAAAAATCAAAACCCTAACTTCCTAAGGGTTTCTTGCAAGTTAACTTTCTTTATGGAGAGTTCCTTCTAAAGCAGCACCCCCTGATGGATTGAAGCCTCTGCAATCTCCAGGGCTGGCCTGGAAGTTGCAACCATGCTCTGCACAAGGAAGGTAGCCTTAGTCTTGGAGCTCAGTCCAGCCCCGAGCCTGTTATGCACTTCCCTGCACTCTGCCAACTGTTTTTGAAGCTCTTCAATCTGCTTCTCCAACTTGTTTGCAGTGGCCTTGGCTTCCTTGTATCCCGCCACCATCTGGTCCAGTTCTGCCTTCTACTTTGCAAAATCAGCCAAATTGGCTTCATGAGTGGCTTGAGATCCTCATAGTGGTCGTGAAGGTTGAGCACATCCCTTACCAGACCAAGGCTCATCTCAAGTATAGGTTTAGGGGCCATGTTCTGTCTGTGTAGCAGGTCCAGATCCTTCATCAGCTGGTCAATGGCTTCCCTATCCTCATCCAGCTCAAGTTCAGTAGACTGCCAGCTCTAGTTCTATAGCCTCCTCCACTGCCTTAGATTTTGCCTTGCCTACAGGAGAGCTAAGCATCTCCAATCTGTCTAGTTGTGCATCTAAGTTCATGGCTTCAAATTCTGCCAATTCTGGATCAGCAAAGGAGGCCGTGGCAGATGAACCTGGGAGGGAATGAATAGGCATCTGCAGAAGGAAGCATAAGTCAAGACTAGGCAGAAACATAAAAGAAAAAGCCCAAAAATGTAATGCATACTTACAGCAACAATTGGGGGCTTCAAGGGGCTAGTCACTACTGACAGGGCACCAACAGATCTGAGCACTTCTACCTAGGAAGACTACAACGATTAAATGAGTAGAAAACAAAATAGAATTGCAGAAAATGTGAGCAGAATTGGAAGAGAAATTACTATGACTTCAAGAGCAGAGGCATCCACTTCTACTCCAGCTTCTGGAACCACCATAGCCTGGTCCACAGGTTCTGATGCAGACTGACTTGCCTGCTCCTTAGCTAATGGAACAGCAGTAGAGTGTTCTCCCTCTGGATCCTCAAACAGGGTCAGCTCTGAGCTAGTCAGCCCTGCCCTTGTGTCTTCCTGTTGTTTTTTAGCCAGCGCAATACTCTCTGCTATCACCTCAACAGGAAGGAATTTCCTCCTACAGATAGACAGAAGTCAGGACAGAAGGAATAAAAGGCAGCAGAAACTGACACAACTAGAAAAATAAGACTCACCTCTTCTTCCACTGTCTTGGCCTTCTCCTGAGGCCCCTCTCCTACTTCTTCCAGCTCTTCCAGCTCCTTCTCTTGCTCCACAGCCTCAAAAGCCTCTCTCAGCTCTTCATCCGTGTCTGAAGTGGCGATGGGAGCTGCTGCAGTTCCTTCTGTGGCCACATATTCCACCACCGTCCTCTTTTTAAGCCTTTTTGACTTAGTGGGATAAGGAGAAGGACCTTCAGCTGCAATAGACAGAAAAAAGGGCCATTAGAACATAAGCCAGAACAGGATAGAACAGAAATAGAAAAAGCTCAGGAACTGTCAAAATTCACCTGAAGTTGCGGGTTGAGCAGTTTCCTTTCTTTTCCATCTGGCAAAAGGAGTGGCCTCAACGGGAGTCTGTTCTGCTTGATCTTCTTCTTCTTCTTCCTCTCTAGAAGGAAGCTCTAGGTCCCTAGCAGTTCTGACAGAAGTAACTGTACAAGAAATGACAATTTCAGAAATCAATCCAGCAAGAAAAGGTAAAAGGAAAAGAAGGATAGAAAATTTACCAAACACTTATCCAGCCTGGGTAGACTGACCACCAACGTTCTGTGTCAGAGAGGGATCTGTTGCAGACAGAACAAAGTGTTAGACACTACCTTCCAGAACAGACAGAATTGAGACACTACCTTCCAGAACTTGGGCATTGATGTCCTTTATGGTCTGCACCATAAACTTGTGAGTCTCCTCTCCTGTACGAACGGCCCAGCCATCCCAGCCATAAAAAATCATTGCCAGTGCAGTACTGGAAGCAGGTAGATTTCGAAATCGAGCCTTCCACCAGGCGTCAAAATTGGCAGAACTGCAGGAATTGAGCTCTTAGGATGGATAGAGGGCATCTGCATTGTTGTTGATCTTGTTTACCGCACACCTGGCATCCTTGTGCACCTCCAGGTCATCCAAGTCCCTCCAAGAAGAAGCCCGATTGCAGCTCCTATAAGATTTGAGTGGAATAAGCTGTGGACAGCCAAGCTGCCTTGCACAAAAGTTGGGGTGATACACTTCTGCCCCTATATGATAATTGGGAGGCTCCCCACCTCCATGGGGCAGGTCTCTTGGAAGGGTCACACTCAGGAACTTCTTCTTGAAATCGATTATGGATGCGTCTTCTTCCGGCTCATTCTCAAACAAACGGTATCCAGGCTGGAACCAAGGATAGGTTCTCCTGATCACCACTTGCCACTGAGCTGCTGATCTCTTCGTGCAGTGCCTGAATAACATCAGGTACTCTTCAATGGAACGCTTGGGCACTTCTGCTAACATCAAAGGCTGAGCCAGAACTTGGTCTTCAGGCAGAACTATGTCTGGGAACCTCAGTTCTGGGAAATAGACTTGCAGCTAGATCTGGATCATCAAGAGTGCACCAGGAGCAGACAAATTCAGCGGATTCTCCAAGGTGGTAGTATACAGGTTCTTGAAAAGATGAGCCATAACCGAAGGCCCGAGTCCAACATCAGTATGATTGTGCAAAGCGTCTGCCAGGTGTCTGTAGTCAAGCAGAACTGCAGAGGAACGGTTGGGCAGAATGAACCTGTTCAGCCAATACAGAAGGAACAACATGTGCTGCTGGTCCTTCTCCTTCTCAACACTGAATTTCCTGAGATAATTGGAGAAGGAGCAGTTCTGGTTGATCAGGGCTGGAGAGATGATGAATGGCTTGGCTAGCTTATGCTGGTTCTTCTTCCTGTGATAATCACCAACAGCATCAACAGGTCTTCCATGGGGCCTAAACCCGAAAATCTGAGCCATGTCCAGCAAAGTTGGAGCCATGGGGCCTATGCGAAATTCGAAAGTGTTACTGGCAGAATTCCAGAAACACAAGGCAGCAGCAAGCAGGTTCTCATCTCTATTGACAGATTACTTGGACAGAAGTATGGCGTCATAAATACGAACCTGCTTCCAGTGAGGTCCATATCTTGGAAGGAGTCTGTCAATCCAGTCTACCCATTTCACTGAACTGTTTCTCACCTCGCTAGACGGGAAAGACCGGCTCAATTTCTTGCTGACCCAAGAATGAGAAGCCAAAGCAGAAGTGCTCTCAAAACATAAAGGAGCCTCAGCATCCTTCTTCATCAGTTCTGCCTTCTCATGAGGAACAGGACCAAACCAGTGAGGCCCCAGCACCAAGGTATTCTCAAACAAATGGAGGACATTCTCATCTAGGTTTTTCTGGGCCAAAGGATGGAGCTTGCTCCTAACCTCTATCGCGTGGTTGTCAATTCCAATCCCAGTAATATAATCTAGAGGAACTGGAACAGAGGAAGACTGAGCACGGGATTTCTTGGAAGACATTTCTTAGGATTGTTTTTAGGTTGAAAAAAAAAACAGAGGAAGTTGATAGGAAAGGCAAGGCAGGTTCTAGCAAGGAAGAGAGTTGTCGAAGAGAAGCTCAAAGGAATAAGGTCTGAAATACTGGGTTTTCGGATGAACAGGAATAGTAGGTTTTGAATTTCTTTTAAGGAAGCTAAAAAATGTGGGAAAGAGAAGACAGGGACGTGGAGAAGACAAGGCGTCATTTGATATTGACTAGCCAATAAAGAGCTAGTAACTGAGCGCAGTTTCCCACGAACAC